TTCCGTACCACGGGCGGGTATGCACCGCGCACCAAGTAGTAGACTGTGAGTGGAATGAGTGGCTGCGCGCAGTACACCGATGTAGTAGTAGCAGCAGCAGTAAAGCGCCACAAGCAATTCAAATGCGGGGTGGAGCCTTGCTGCCATGTTCGCTACGCCTGTGGTTCGCATCCTGATTGTGCATGTACATACGCAGAATGGCGGCACGCGCGCTGAACCATAGATAGGCCGCTGTTTTTGGTGCGGCATGCAGGATTTCCTCCAAAAAAGGTTGTGTTGCCATGATGGTCTTCGTGATGGTCGTGGTTGTCCGATGTGGTCAGGCGTTGCCGGTTTTGTATCTGTGCACAATGCAGCGGGTGCGTGGCCACACTGAGGTCGCAGCAAGGAGATTCGCGTTACGACAGCACCTAACCTACATGCCGCCGCCAAGCAGGAGCCTCTTTTATTCGGATTCGAATTTCCAAACGCTGTTTACGCATGTTACGAACATCAATGCTCACGGCCTTATAGTATTTTTTTCAGCTGAGGGCGCAAAATTCTGATGCGTCCCGGCATTTGAGCTTTGAGCGCAGGATGAATCTGGCAGCTCCTCCGAGAGTGGCCTTTCAGATGTGGAAGAAGCGGAGGTCGAGAAGGCCAGCCGGCCAGCAAAGCAGCTCTGTATCTTGGGGTTCGGCTGCTGAAGTCTTTATTCAGACCGTGCATTGACCAGGTGCCTCCCAAGTCTGCCCAAGAGCTGGAGGCCGAGTACGAAGGCATGGTCAAGCAGTGCAGGGCTGGGCAGGTTTCTTTTTCGGTGACTTGCGCCAAGTTTGACAGGCAGGTGGACATTTGTTCGTAACAGATTTTCAGTTTTCAGGTTCGAAGGAGGAGAACGGTCGTGACAGCGATGGCTTCACAAAGAATTTAGATAAAAGTTTATGTGGTCTTTCCATGGGACGGCTATAAGAGGTAAAATTCGATTATGACCTATCGCTGCTCTTGCTTTAGGAAGCGAGGGTGTGAACTTAGCATATTGACTGGTCTTGTTGTCTTGGTGCGAGGTGTTGACTTTCAACACCACACGCTACTCAGGGCAATCAGGGTTTGAAAGATGCACAGAGGAAGCAAAGCGGTTTTGAAGAGATGAGAAAGGATGTGACTTAGAGGCTATGGCAGGGAACACAGTGCAAGGTCTGACCAACCCGTACCTGTATTGGAACACCCCAAAACAACACTTGCCTGGAATTTCATTTTGAAAAAGTCATCGAAGATTTGTTTTTAGTTGCAAGTAGGGCAAGTGGACAGCTGATCATATTTCCCATCTGGGTCATCACGAGGGGGTGCAGGAGCCTGTACAATTAGGACTGCGACATACTGCAACCCGGAATCCTCTCTATACCAAGACCCCCCTACATTTCTGTGTCCGAGATAGATCCCACCTTCATCTAAGACGGGTATCCAGCATTTCATTGGGTTCAAAGAAGACCCGCATTGCCAAATGTGCAGATCTTGCTGGAGCTCTTGTAGAAGTGCTGGTTCTACCACAGGGGGCCTGCTTGCTTCAATTACTCGCCGCCAGTGCATTTGGGAATACTGTGTGCAATGTGGTTCATCGAGGCAAAGATGATGAAGAGGTGGAAGAGGAAGACGGACTCGGCGCGTTGCTGCAGTTTCTTGTCGCCGTGGATTAGCACAGAGGGGGTCTGTGGCACATGATGGTGCTGCCACTTTTTTGTTGCAAACGGATTTGTTGTACGCCCTGAGAACAGGGCGAAAATCATTATAAAGCGACACCTGCGTCAGCTGTCAGCTCCTGGCAGTGCAGGGTAAGTGCAGCTAGGTTAAGTTCAAATTGCGTGGTACTGTTGCTGGCAATTGCAATACATACGTCTCATCAGACGTCAAGCAAGGCGCTCAGATGATGCGGTTGAGGAGCGCTTGCGCCGCGTGCTGCGCAAGGGTATCGGCAGCAAAGACTTTGAGGTGAGAGGGTTCTTGCCGCAGTTGACGTACCAAGAGGCCCGCATTGTTGGTATGGGTCTGCAACAGGCAATGGATGAGGTTGAACTCCAAGCCGTAGCTGAGCAGGCTGGACTGCCCATGCGTTGCTCCGTGTAGCAGTATGCAGGTGTAAGCAGCAGGCCAACTTGGCTGGCTCAACTTCTCTTTCATAATGCAGAAAAGTTGTTAATGTTACTTGACGTATTAGGAAGAGATCGCCAATGTCATCCAAACCATTGGTGCTTCCGGCAAGTTGGCTCTTGCCTGGGCCCGACCCTTAGCACGCACAGACTGCGACGACTGTCTTGGCACGTGGTCCATGCATCGGCCTGCCTGCAGATCTTCATAAAGAATCGGCCTGCCTGCAGGTCTTCATAAAGAAGCTGGGTTCCCTGAAGCGGGCCTTCAAGTGGTTTGACACGAGAAATACCCGCAAGATACCGCAAGTGGTCGCAATCTGAGTTTGCCTGCCTTGCAATTCCTGTATCATGTCGTTCCTACACCAGCTCAGGTCTGGGACACAGGTTTCCAGCTGCTGCACATTGACGCCGAGAGACTGACAGGTTGGAGGCGGCCCAACATGATGGTCTTTGCTGCTTTCCTGCACGGGTCTGCCGGATGCGGTGCATGTACATCTCAACAGAGGCCTTTTGACATCTTTAAGCAGATCGATACGGATCCGAGCGATGGGACGATCTCGTACAAGGAATCTTTCTGCATGACGCCTCAAGAGGGGTGCGGCTGCGACGCGTTGCTTGAAGGAGTGGAATAACTTCTTTGCAGATGCAGCCAAGACCATCGCTTTGGAGATGGACTGCTTGCTTTTTTTTGAACGGACTTGTTGTTGGCGGCCCGTCGATACGTGAACTCAAGAAGAGGAGTCGCTTGGGGGAATCGACTTTGAGCAGCAGGTGAAGGTCAGGGCCTTGGCTAGAAATAACACAGCTTTAACGAACATTTTCTTAGTGCTCCAGTACAATACAAGAGGGGGAGGATTCCCAAGCATTCAGTCCAGGAGCGACGGCAGTGCATCCTCATTCAAATATTACGTTCTTTAACCTCGCGAAATACTGTTGCGCTTATGGGTTGGTTTTAGATCCAAGCGGCAATTCAGTTTGATTGAATGCACTCAGTTACGGCGACACAACCTCAAGATGATGAGAGACAGACGAAGGCTGTCAGATGTGCTGTACGTTTGCTGTTGATGTGGTGGGTCAAGGGCTCTCACGGTACCCAGGCGAGACCAAGTAGCCAAGTACTTGCAGCACTGGCAGAATTCCACATTTTGAGCACGCTCAGGGGGAAGAATGGGAGAGCAGAGGCTGGGTGGTTGGGATATCATGTCATGTTCCAGGTCAAAGGGCATCAGTGGATCACTAGAGGGGCCAAATCTGCAACGGTTGTGGTTTTCCCAAAGCTTGAGGGCGAAGCTTTTCTGCCATGCTGCCGTCCACATAGCTGAAAGGCAAACATAGCAGCAGTGCTGAGGACTCGTGGTTAGAGGATCTTTCAGAGAAGCAGGCCATGAAGCAGCAGGAGGAGGAGCCCAAAACCTCTTTGGTACATTTTCATTCGCGATTCGAAAAAAAAATCTCCAAACCCAGGAGTTTACGAAGCGGGTGCGCAGCAAGCTGAAGTCAATCGGAGAGGGCCAGCCCAAGCCTTGGCAGAAAGCAGCTCGAGACTTTCAAGTTGATGACTTCTCCCGTCGCCAGGTCCTTCTTGTTCGGCCGAGAATGGCTGTGCACAGCGGAGGCAGCCACTGTGTTCGCCGTAATGTGTCAGATGAAAAGCATTTCCTTTCGGACTCTTCTGCAGTTCGGGAAACAGTCCCACCCACACAGCTGAATGCTGGCAATGAACACACAGGAAGCGCTCCTCCTGCTCACGCCACTGAAGCGCAGCGACATCGTCCAGCAGGTGAAAGTGGAATCACCATGGACCATGTAGTTGTGTTGTCGGCTACATTGCAACAGCTCTGCTATCCCACGCAGGAGGCCGAATCACTTCGCTTGTGGTCCATCCCCTCTCCAGCTTTGATCGATGTCCGGGAGATGCTTAAGACCCGAACTCAGAAGCCAATATGGGACCGGATAGAAATCCGGCGCCAGACAGGACTTGTTCACGTTTCAACCCTTGCTGCTGCGTCGGGTGCTCAGGTTTCGGCCAGGACTCACGAGCCAGGACTGCCGTCTAGCTACGACTTCCCATGCACTTGTTTCATGCTGCGTGCTACAGTAGCAACAAAAGCTAATCAGACTTACACAAGAAGCATCAATTTGTTTTAAAGCTGTCATGCTGTGACTATGCCGCACTTGCTAAACAGCCGAAATGCGAAGGACCAGAAGCCTCCAGAGTACAGCTTGCAGCCTGTCATGGAGATGCCGCAGGACAGTGCAGGTTGTGTCAGCTCAGGCAAGCTGGGCATGCTTTGCGCAGCTTGAACTTCAGAGCGCGATGGGCTGGCTCTACACTGCATCAAGGACAAGACGAAGGCTGACAAGAATGGAGATCCAGGCAGCATTCTCGTGACGAATCTCACTGAGTTCACGCAAGAGATTCAGGACCTAAACGTTTGTCACTGGATTAGCCTCCTGAAGGTTGTTGAATGATGCCCTTCAGGAGAAGCTCAAAGACATACCTATTCACTGCAGCGAGGTGCGAATGGAGTAGTCGAAAGCAGGCAGCATGCACCCAATCAAGCAAGGGAGACTGGGGAAATGTCTGCCGCGCAGACATCAGCTGTCATTAGTGACGATGTCAGAAAACAAGGCATATCAAGCAATAGAAAGCTGGCCGACGGCGCACAGAAAATTGAATTCACCGACCCCTGGCCTCGTGCTCAAAGAACGCACCATGGCCCAGTCAGAGCATGGACAGACCGACCTTTAAGCCTTTCGGCTACGTGCCGCCGACTGTTCCGCGGGTGAACAAAACCAACAGGTGAGTTTGCTCAAGGGAGCAGGCTCAACTGCAGAATTTTCCGGTGTCCAGCTGCCCGTGCAGAGGAAATGAGTGCAGGGAAACAAACAGACAAATGCTAATGGACCTTTCCCTCAACAGGACGAAATAAGAAAACGAGGCATGGACATAAAGGCAGACGCGCACTTCAAGGCAGAAATGAACTTCCACCAATTTTTGTTTGACCCTGCTTCAGCAATCCTGGGACGGATCCGGGGAAACCAATCGTGGCGTCGGCGTTTGCGGATCTTGGTTTACGAAACTGGATTCCGGAGCTCTGGTCGAAAGGTCTGCAAATCTGGGCTTCCAGACCTCGACGTAAGGTATAGCTTATGAAGGGATTCCAAGCATCATGACTTACCAGCCTTCGTTTGTGAATCCCTGTGAATCATTGTTCTGAATTGCTGGTGTACACAATCAGGTTTACAATTCCAAACAACCAGGAGGAAAGATTGTTTGGCCCACGCTCTGTTGAGATGCCGTTTTCAAATTGGGATGACATTTGCAGATGAGGCTGGTTGCTACTTGGACGCATTCCTCATTTCCAAAGCTTGAGTTTGGCGTGTGGATATGATTTCAGCAGCAATGTGCGGTAGTATAAGATTACGTTGGATCCTCTTCACAACAATGTTACGGCTTGAAGGTTTGTAATCGCAATTTAGCACATGGATGCTGGTGTGTTCTGCTGCGTGGAGTTCCCATCAACAAGTTTTCCAGGAGTTTCCAACCTCGCTCTCGGACTTGCAACGTGGTGTCGTGAAGCTCATTGCGCAACGTGAGGGCCCTGGGGCAACCGACATGTCGGCAAAGTTGGGGTGAACATGGTTCATTCATCAGCTCCAAGCACAGCGTGTGGAGGAATGGGGTTGGTTGCAGCCGTTGAGACGAGACTTGGCCATCTGTTCCAGCTTGCCAAAAATGTGTTCCCAGAACTGCGACATACAATGCCCCAGGATAGGTGCCCTGTTGCAGATGACCGTGTTCAATGTCAGTGGGGACTTCGTCAAGGACATGCAAAAGCAGTCGCGGCACTCAACATGTTGAGAGATCTGAGTCTCAGAGTGCAACCTGTACCGCAACAGACATGCCCTGTGCCCAATGTTCCAAGGCTTGGCGAGCTGGAGGAAGGTCAGGGAATGCGGCTCTCCAGGCATGATAGCCTGAAACGAGCTATTCATATCCAACAGCCCTTCCAGACGCTATTCATGCAGACAAGAGCAATTCAAGTAGGCAGCTCCCTGTGCAGGCATGGTAGAGTAGATATGCTGGCTTGTGCTTGCTACCGTGAATCCTTGAAGATTCTCTTCTTACTCACCGAGAAATGCTTTTGCAAAGAAGTCAGAACATGCTTTTGTAGCAAGAACTATTCCTGACCCGTGTGCCACAAGGAGCCGTAACAGCTTGACTAGGAAGTTGCATTCAAGGAGTTGGCAAAGAGATCGCAGGGTGCTGATTTTTCAAGTAGGGTGGAGGATGCTAACAAGGCGCTCCGGGTGATCTTTTTTTCAAGGTGTTTAATCAATTGACGAGGTCTGCGTGGGGGGGCCCTTCACCCTCACACTCTGCCTTCCTCTGTTGCCTCCAGCTTTCGTGGCCCTCTTCTCAAGTATTTTGGTCATTATTCGTGTGCTTGAGTCATCCTCCCAAGCTGTGGCTATGAAAAGCCCTGCGCCTGCGCCTTGCAGGGATCTCTCCGAGGAAGAGCGTCATCTGGTCAAAGCTACTTTGCTAGATTCAGTATCTCTGTTCTCTGTCAATTTTTGGTCGTTCACTTGGTCTACAGGACAGCCAAATCCGGCCCCATTACTAATCTCGACCTCACAGTTCTGCATGTGAGGGACTGGGATAAGCAAACTGACTTAGCTGCAGCAAGGCCATGGCAGCGGAAATGGGCTATGCTGTCAGCGAGACCTCGATGGGTATCGAGGCCCTTTGTAATCATGAATCCATACCCGCTGGCCCCTGCAAGTCCTGTCGCCTGTTGAGGTGACAAACCTTCGCGCATACGCGAAGCAGATTCGTGAGGAGTTTTCTGAGCTCGGAGTTGGAGAGACACGGAGGTGGCGTGGCAGCTCAAGAGATGCGCAACAGTCTGAGTAATCAATCAGTGCCAGATTAAGAGCTTGCTCGTGTTGAAAAGGATCGCGCTGTCAAGCTCCACAGCCGGGCTCTCAACCTTTCCCCTTGACATGGGTCCGAATGGACTGATTTAGTCTAATCACAGCTGGCACCCGGACGCGGCTTGTAGCAGAACTGGACCTTGGCATTTATCTGTGCGCTGAGGACGAGCAATTGGTAATGCTGCAGAAGGCGAGGCTCAGGCTGAAGGCGGGCAATGATGGCACAGTGACTTGCCCGCATCAGGTGGCTCAAGAGCTTGGCTTGGACTGGGATGAGGAAGGTCAGCGCCGGCAGAGGCCACATTGGCCACCAAAATGTGCAGAGTTGAGGTGGCTAAGCAAGGCATTTCAAAACCTGTCGGAAGTGGGCGGTGCCGCAACCCCAAATACAAGAATGAGTCGCAAAGGCTGATCGTGAGCAAGCCTCTTAATATCCAGCCAAGATGCATGCTGGACGGGGGACTCAATATATATGAAACATACGCACTGGCTAGCAAGTGAATGGATGCCCCTTACCCTTCCGCTGCAGGACCGCCACTGTGGGAAATATGGTGCATTTAGTAGACGAGATGAGGGAGAAGCTCACCAACACGACAACACCAGGCTGGTAAGATAGTGGGTGGAGCTCAGCCACCGCAGCGGAATTTGCAGAAAGAAGTTTTCATGAACATGAATGACGGCAGAAGTGCCATGGCTTTTATCTACATCTGTCTATCTGAAGATTCGTAGGCGGGTTTCTCTCGCTCAGCTCAGGAGTGTCAACAGGGTACCGCATAGTGCCTTCCAGATAGTCAGTTGCTGGAGGCACTGTGCTCTCCTTCATTCTTCCTCCCACAGAACCGCAGCACCTTGGTCGAATACAGTTCTTATTCTTGAAAATCTTCAATGGATGTTGCAAGAGCTTTTTGACGTTTCTGTTGCCCGGGAACCATGCTGTTGCCAAGGCAAGACACATTCTTCGAGATGGCGCAGAACTACGGCTTTGAGCTGCCTGGCTGCTTTGTGTGCACCAGAGTCAAGGGATCTTGTTTTCTGCAAGCTGAGGTGCATCAGCAAAGAAAACACGGAAAAAGGTGGCTTGACTTGCACAGTTTGAACAGAGCTGCTACGCGGAAGAGCTGCGCAATCCATCTCGACCAGCTTTTTATGCGTTTAGTCGCGGAGGTGTCCGGGCGTATCTCCGTCGCCTTTCGTTTGAGCGCACCTCGCTTGCCGCAAGGCCACGCCCTTGGCACATGCTTTCCACAACAGCCGTAATTCCACTTCTCATCTTCAGACTTGGAAACAAACTGTATCGAGGTGACTGTTCACTTGAGCTTTTAACTCCTCGACATGGCAGGCGGCGTCGAAATAGCATATCAGCGACCACGCCAAAGGGAGAAGGGATGCAGGCCCAAACTGGACATCTGATTTGGAGCTTGCATGTGCCTGACCTGCTGTGTACATCTTTGAACGGCAAACTCCTCACGAGGGGAATTGCTGCACGTCTTCGCATTGCATGGATGTGCTTTAGCAGCCTTTCATGAACCAGGCATCTCAATCGTGAAAGTTGAATCCGTACAAAGGAGTTGCAGATAAAGGGTCTGCACAGTGAAACCAAATTTCCCGTCCCTTGCTTTTGCCGCTCGTGCGAGGGAGCGATAGTGACTAGGGAGTATGATCTGCGCCAGCAGGTTTCCTCAAGATTCCTGAAGCAAGTCGTTTCTATCTAGCGTCGCAGGCACTTCAAGTCCGAATAGTCTGTGCTTTCGAGTGTTGCCCCCTGCCAGCTTGGCTTGGGCGAAACGGCACCGCTCGATCCGCTGGAAAAGGTGCACCTTGTGTCAAGCATTTTTTCATGCCCACTAATTCCACTGTTATATGACAGGATGCTCGCCCGGACGATGATGGCCTGATGGAGGCCCACGGTCCTTATCAAATGGTTGAGCTCAACCGCTGCGTGGGAGGACAGTGGGCTGGAGGAAGAGTCGGAAGAAGAGGCGCAGGAGCCGCAGGAAGTGCCGGAGGCAGAGGAAAGCGCGGAGGAGGAGATCAGTGGGAAGGGTCTTCCGCAAAGCCATTGCAGATTGCAATTCATTTCAGTGCTCTCACATGGGAAGGTTCTGAAAGCGGTTGTTGCTACTCGGAAGGGGTTTACTGCGACATTGCTGTATGAAGAGCCCCCCTGTGAGTCGTCGAGAAATCCAACGGTGCATTCGGCACGCCTTTTTCGGGCACATCTCGTCGTCGTTCAGCGTTAAGGAACATCTTGTAGACTTCCCGCTTCACGGCTTGCCGGTGCCGATATTTTGAAGGCTGACTTCCGAAGTCCGCGAGCAAGGAAAACTTTAAATCGATAATTCTGGAGAGGCTTGCTCCATTTATGTGGAAACAGTGTTAGACTCAGCAAGAGTTCCAGCTCGACGACAGCCCTGCTCCATCAGCAGTTCTGCTGTTTGAGTGTATATGCCTTTCGTAGGGTGTGTCTCACTTGTGATGATGTCAATCATAGTATGTCATGCTTCGAGGACTCCCCGGAGCCTTCAGAGCTAAAAGAGGATGACCTGAGCGAGTTGTTGCTCATGCGAGGACTGCAGTCAGGCACAGGAGAGTCGAAGATGTAGTGGAGCGCAACCAAACCCCCTCTCTCTCACTCTCGCTCTTGCTTGTTCTCTCTCTCTCTCCCTCTCGCTTGCTCTGGTTTTCTCTCAATGTCTCTCTTTTTGGACGTACCCATATCTCGCTTGCATCATTGTACAAAATTTTGTTTACCTAGCAGTCCTGTCTGGATCACGATTACACGAGCGTCCTGTTTGTAAGAGGGTTGCTTAAGATTGTACATGCGCCCTGACCAGTCTGGATGAGTCACAGGCCACAGTATTTCGGATACTATGGCACCAAGTAGCTTTCACAGAAATGTAGCATCCGTCTTTACTGGTCCAGGCGAAGACCACCTCATCCCGCGAGTGTTCCGCCGCTATGCTTCTGGCAATTGGCGTGGCAAAGTGCGGCTTGGACTTGGCAGGGCCAGGGTCCAGCATTGTAGGAGGTACCTCCAACATGCACCTCATTCGGCACTGCCCTACTCAGGTTGTTCCTGCGATATGTGCCTCGGAGATTGCTAATGCATGTGCAGATGATCACAGGGCACCGTCGGCGGAGTGCTTGCGCCGTGTGAATTCTGATGGTGGATATAGCTTCCAGGAAGTATTCTGCAAGCATCGTTGCTCGCTCAGGGAGATGTCAAGGACTTCGCCGAAGATCTTAAGCTACGAAGATGCAAAGCAAAGTTGGTGGTTCAGTGTCCCTTTCAACACAAAGATGCGAGGTCAAATATGACCTTGTCCACAGCTTTGCGTCAGCGTATGTGGCATGCCTAAGCTGAGGTATGTGACACCCAACGTCGACACGAGATTATATCGCTTCACAGGTGGGCGAAGCCAAATCGAAGACCAGCCACAGGTAGATAAGGTTTTGTAATTTGGATTTTTTTGACGTAATCGGTTATCCTCTCTTTTCTGTTCCTCTCTTTTCTGTCGCGGTTTTGCGTTCAGGGTGAAGCAGAAGTGCCGTTTGACATGTCCGATTTTTCATAAGTGGATGAAGGTTGTAAGTTCACGCGGCTGTGCTACTGTCCGTAAGGCATGTTCGAGTATCTCTTCGAGGATACGCTGCAGCTCCAAATTGACATGGGCCACCTGACAGTCAATTACAAGTTTTGCAGTACTTGGAGCTTGTCCCAGCACAGGATCTGTGAATGCTTTCAGTGCTGTCACATGTCAGGGCTCCATGATCTTGGGACATCCATCCTTCATGTCGTCATGCTGCCAATAAAGGTGTGCGAGTCGGGCAGGGTCTGACAATTGAGCCTCTGATGCACAAGCGTCATGCTGCCGGCTTCCCGACATGTCGCTTTTGTAGGATTGGCAACTCCTATTGGATTGTCATACTTCTGAGTCGTGGTCATGTTGCATGGTGTAATTTTTTCATTTTCTGGAGTTGTTGTGCGGGAAGATTGTTGTTCGTTTCTATGTGGAGAAATTGTTACCTTGCAACTGGGCAGTCCGCGGTTTCACCTGATCTGAGGAATGGTTCCAGATCTTCTTGCAGAAAGTCATTGCACGGCTGGGCAAACAATTTGTGCCTGTGCTCTTCCAGCTCCTCGATGAATGATCACCGAGCCTGGAAGCAGCCGGTTTTTCAAGCAGCAGGAGGAAACTCGCCTTTCTTCTTGTTTCCCCAGAGCAGTCCACAGTGTCATTTGGATTTAAGCACCTGCGATCCTGACTCTCCTCCAAACACTCATGTGTTCGGGTGCCTGTGCTTGCTGTGCTTGTAGACAGCAGTCTCAGGACTTTTAGGAATGTTTTCAAAGCATGGTGCTGCGGTGCGTCCCTAGCATCGGCCAGCTCAAGAATGTCGACTGCTGAATTTGGCTACGTGCTGGGAATGAAGCCTTCATAGTGCTTAACAGGCTTTGTAAGAGCAATCTTGAGCATGCTGTCTCTGTGACGTTCGACGTATGATGTGGCCACTTGGCCCGGAATTTCACTTTGCAGGCCCGAATCAAAGTTATCGTGCTCTCCTGCGCCTCACTTGAGTCGGACATGCAATTTGTATACCCTGTGATGGTATGGACAGCCAGATTGTTTGGGCCATTGCTTGTGAGAATGCACGCGAAAAAGATGCCACGGCCCAGAAGAACAGGGTGTCCAGTATCTGAGACCACCACAGCAGTTCTGGACACCTTTTCACGCCACCTATCCACACTAGGCTTGCCATGCGTTAATTGTGTTCATCAATTTTCCTGGGCTGTGCAAATAAGTTTTGATATGTTTGAATCTGGTGAAGCACATGTGGCGCATTTGTGTGGGTGGGCTTCATACTGAGCCTGAGGTCATCCACATAAAGGGATCCTATGCTCTTGCCACCTGTGCAGTTGCCGTACTCTGCTTGCAATCTTCAACCAAATTGAGATTTTTGGTTTGGCCAGTGAAGTCCAGCCTCCACACTATCAAGCTAACCCCAGACTGCATGTACTGGGCTTAACCTCCTTGGCCAGGCAACCTTGCGCCTCTAAGGAAGCAGCAAAAATAGAGGCGTTTGTTTTTGTTTTCTGATCAGCAGGTGCTGATGATTGTACAGTGTATCTCTAACAGGCATCGGAGGAATGTAGAGAAACAGGCTGTCTGGCTGACCTGCAACAAATCTACTTTTTCGTACTTCTACTTTTGCATCAGGCAGCCGCACACGACATTCCTTTGCTGGTACGCCTTCAATCTATAGACAACATCTGGACCTGTCAAGTGCTGGCAGCAAAATGGCATTGTCCTGTGTCTTGTTTTAGCCAACCTGGTGGTCAGCACCTGTCCTCAGAGAAGGCTTAGAGCCGTGCTTGTCACTGCGTTTGCTGTGAGTGTGGCCCGGAGTTGTTAAGTTTTGTTTGGAAGGCCTTGCTCTTTGACCTTCTCGGCGGTCAGGGTGCTTCCTTGTCTGATAGCCGCTTCACATTCACAGACAGGAGAGGGCATCATTGCCAGGTGAGCTTGAGGGGGGCTGTAAAGACTGCATTGTTTGGGTGGCTGAATTGCAGGCGTCAGCTGAGCTGTGTTAATTGGCAGGGTCATACTACAAAAATTGTTGCTGTGCAAAGTGTGGCTGACTCGTTCCAACTCTGAGCTTGTGACGAGTGCCTTCAGCGAAGAATCCAGTGGACTTGACTGTGAGGAGTGATGGGGCCGTGAGGCCTGGTCAGGGCAGCCAGCGGTTAAAACAGACCCATCGAAGCATGCCCTGAAGTCAAAGCCATGTGTTGGTGATGGCTTGACTAATGGGCAGGCGCGGCTGCAGCGATCAAGATAGCTTGCAGTGACAGAGCGTTCAGATTCGGTACAACATGCCGCATCATGCCGTTTGCGCGTGCGAGGCGTGTCGTCCTTGGGGAGGAGACAGATGAGCTCTGGAACAGCTACCGTCACATGGCCGGGCTGTTTGTATGTACTGTAGCCATAGTTTCAGTGGAGTAATCTGTAGCCCGTCATTGCAGCATATTGCAGCTGCAGTAGTGGCAGCTCACCTTGTTGTGTTCTGCAAAGTTTTCGCAACGATGTGAGAGGCCACGTATGCTGTGAACGACAGGGTCGTTCAGGAAGTGAAGGATTGGAGCAGGAAGGCCTGCATGCTAGCTTCCTCCTGCTTTATTTGTTGCCGTGTTCCTGTGATGTTCTGGTACCATGATGTGCTTTACCGAGACTCAATTATGCCACGCCACTGGGAGACCACTTCTGTACTCATGGATGTCACTTGTGATGACGTCGCGTTCTGGCTCAAGATATTCACGGGATATTCGCGCCAGTTACAGTAAGACCACTATTTGCTGAAGGACCAACCTCGCGCTGTCATAATTGAGGGCTTCTGTGTTGCGCATCAGACCAGACTCAGCGGGAGATTGGCTGCTTTGAAGCGATATTGCCAGATGATCCAGATGTGACATTCAAGCAGCTAGGTCTTTTGATTGGCACGTTGGGGGTAGCTTTTCGGAATGCAAACTGCAAGAAGACGGGAGTTCTAGAAAAGGTCCAGGCAGAGTAGCCTGGAACGTGTGAAGATGTGTGAAGGTTATGCAAGGTGGCACCATGTGGCACCTTTCTCGGTCACAAGCGGTTTCTGCTCGGCTTCTGCGCAGCCTGAGAGGACAGCTCTCCAGCAGCACCTGAGATCGAAGAACTTCGACCGTGAGGGCCTTGAGGGCCTTGAAGTCATCAGATCTTACTGAGCAGAGGCCTCTTTGGCAATACTATGGAGATCTGTAGGGGAAGTCACCTTTTCTTTTCGGGCTTAGACCTGCAAAAGGTGCACATACAAGTCTCTTCCTCTTCATTCTAGTTTTACCTTGAGCTGCACATATCTTTCAGAACGCTTGTTTGAAGTCTTCTTACCCGAGTAGCAGGGTCAGGCATGCTGAAGCGGCTGAGGCGCATCATTATCCGGCGTGCGCACGATCCATCTACCGTGTAGCTATGTCTATGTCCATGAAGGCTTGCACAGTGAGCTTCTGAGATTTGAAAATTTCATGACGGTGGGCTGTGTTTCAGGCATCCTCCAACCCTCTCGGGTCCATGTTTGATGCTCAGCTTCCAGGCTTCGGCCAGCAGAGAGAAGCGTAATCTGCATTTTGAGGATTGGGATTCAGCCTTCCAACAACCTTTTGATTCTCCTTGTTCTCACCGCGATCTGCATCGTGGTCGATGGTATGCATCAAGAACAAGGAGTTGCGGCAAGCGCCATTTGCAAACTCTGCAGTCCCGAAGGTGCCTCTCGACCTGACTCAACTCATCTTCGCTTGCCTCGGAGCATTCTGCTATTATGTGGACAGTGCCTAAGACGCTGCAGCCGATGCGTGCGTTTGCATTTGCCTTAACACAGCCAGGGAATGCCAGGGTACCAAACCTTGGAATGCCTCAGGTGCAGCTGCTCCAGCGAACGGTGTCCTTGCCAGCCAGTGGTGCCCTGGCCTGGACGAGAGGGTGTACCATCAGATGCCATCAGTTCAGCAGCCTGTGAGCACATCAGCCCCATTCGCCCTTTTTGAGCGCTGACAGGCACGAAGAAGCTCAAAGCCTGCACTGCACCAGTGACCTGGTTGAAAACTTCTGCTGCATACTACTCTAGCGTCTCCAGTGGCACCTCACGACATTCTCGGTTGTGCACCAGTGGTGGTTCAGAAAAGCCTCGGTTTTGAAGCGCGAAGCTCCGAAGCCACTTGCTTCATTGTTAGGGGGGGAAGCGCGAAGCTCCGAAGCTATTAGTTTCACTTGCTTCACAGCTTCGGGCGAAGCCAGTTGCTTCATTTTTAGGGGGCGAAGCGCGAAGCTCCGAAGCTACTAGCTTCACTTGCTTCCAAGCTTCGTGCGAAGCCAGTTGCTTCATTTTTAGGGGGTGAAGCGCGAAGCTCGGAAGCTATTAGCTTCACTTGCTTCCGAGCTTCGTGCGAAGCCACTTGCTTCATTTTTAAGCGGGCAAAGCGCGAAGCTCCCAAGCTATTAGCTTCACTTGCTCCAGAGCCCCGGGCGAACCCACCTGCTTCATTTTTGGGGGGGCGAAGCGCGAAGCTCAGAAGCTATTAGCTTCACTTGCTTCCGAGCTTCGTGCGAAGCCACTTGCTTTATTTTTAGGGGGCGAAGCGCGAAGCTCGGAAGCTATTAGCTTCACTTGCTTCAGAGCCCCGGGCGAAGGACGACGTGCGAAGCTCCGAAGCTACTAGCTTCACTTGCTTCAGAAGCTTCGGGCAATTCCCAAACCAAATCTGGCGGTCCCTCTAATTCTCAATGCCGGATTGGGGGAAGGGAGGGATGCTGTGCAGAGATCCGAATGGCCTATTGAGAGAAGTCTACACGTATTCACACGTTCTAGAAGTGTGTGGCAGGACTCCGACTCTTCCAGTGAGCGTCCCATCCGTGAGGTGCACCCGAAAAGCTGCGTGGTCTGCTGCAGCAATGTATTCAGTGAGAGCTGCAAGATTTCCTGTCAAGGTGCGCAAGCCGAAGCGGATCCCGACGACGAGGAACCCGCATTGCTGGAACCCACTGCATGATAGAAAGGTATGGCTGCCAGTTGAGTTGGCACTCGGTGTGGCAGGAAGCCAGGCACCCACGTTGATACCCAAGCTCAGACACCAGCAGTCCAGTTCCCAACTGTTATTTTTTGGCATGCACGAGCAGCGCAGCCTGGTTGCTGTAGGTACCAATCGTCGCTCCCAAGTTTGAAGGACACAGCCTCCAAGAAGAGGTTCAGGACTTTCCTGCGCCAAAGCAGAGCAAGAGGGCAAATAGGCTTGTGCAACAAGCTGACAGGGATTCAGCTCAGCGATGTGGGCATCGAAGGCACGTTGCTCCGTTCGACTTGACAACGTGAGCGCAGGAACTGGTGTCGCAGATCATGTGGCGACCACAGCTATTTAGACGAGCCTTCCCGTGACGTCCCCTTCATTCCTTAGCCCAGAAGACGCGTCCAGGGGGAGCGGCCTCGCTTCTTCGCTTTGCACCATGTGCATGTGGACCTTGATTTCTGAGGCCCACGGCCGCCAGCCAGCGCGGAGTGGACCGGTTGGCTGAGGACAGCAAGATTGGCCTCAGAGGGCGCACAGTCCACCTGTCCACCTACTTACCTTCTTATGAATGGCAGCTTGTGAATTTAGGTAGGTGCTGCGCTTGCTCTTCGTATCTAGTTGAGCAACTTTGAGTCACTGCCGTGAGAGGCCATTCGTGTGATGCTGGCAAGCAGCCTTCCAGAGGTTCACAGCATGTCATAGTTGCGTTTCGGCTTTCACAGACCTGCGTGAACCAAGGTGGAGGTGGTTGGATTTGCCAGCAGCGACCTTTCTCGTGGCCGTGCCAACGGTGTTGCCGTGCCCGATGTGGACATTGCTCGGTGCCCAGGTTGATTTCAAAGGCGGCTACTCGGCTTCAAGCTGCAAAGGTCATCAACGTCCGCCCGGACCGCGTGTCACCAAAGGTTGCCTCACGTCCGGCCAAGGTGTGGGAGTTAAGGCTGTCAAACACAATTCGAACTCCTTTCTTTGTGCCAGGTCTCCACGGATCCCCGTATGCTGCAAAAGTGGGCGTGGCCCGGAAGCAAACTGTTTCCATCTGCCTGAGTATTATCAGTATTTGTCTAGAAGATGCTTTGAGGAAGAGTTCTGGGCATTTTTGGCTTTCGTGTGTGAAGCATTGTGAAACCTTGCTGTGCATTGGACTTGCTTGACTCTTTTTTTGATGTTCTTTGGATTTTGGATGCCCTATACCAATATGAGTGTGGAAGAACAGCGCTGGTCAAGCACATTTCCGCTCGCCTACTCTGGCGAACTGAAGGCTGCGTCATTGTGCCGATCGTCTCGTCTCTGCGTGGAGCTGAAAATTCATTCTGAAGGAGAGCTTTTCTATCTGCTCGGCGATGCCAGGCTGGTGGATTCAAGTTTCGACGCTCGGGCTTTCGCGGGCTGCTGCCTCGGCTTGCGTTTCTGTGAGAATTTGGCATATGCAGTAGATAGGCCAGTGGTAGGAACCACCTGTCAGCGTCAAGAACCGCTTCTACGGGTCCTGGCATCAAGAAACCCTTCGGAAGGTTGAAGAAGCAGAAGCTGCAGATAGAACTACAGGTACGATGCGACATGCAAGGCCTTACAATTGAATGTGAAGCACAGAACAACCTTTGGACATTGTGGACATCTGAGTAACCAAAGGTCTTCGCTTTGCTTTTGCCTTGCCTTGCCTTGCCTTGCCTTGCCTCGCCTCGTCAGCCTGCCCGCTGGCTTGAGGAAAGCACGCGATGGTTAGGAAGCGCTGAGTGTTGGCCTGCTCAGGAACTGGCTGCAACGGTGCAAATTCCCAACAAGTCCTAACTCTACGGAGGGCAGAATTATCTTTTCGTGTTTGTTTCGTGCTTTGGTAAGGTTTGATGTCCCTCCCAAAGCCAAGTGGCCCAGGAACGAGCCAAAGATGACTTTGCTGGTGCCCAGCGAGCTGGGCATCTTCAATCAGGTAGATGCATTTGCACTACCCTTTGCGGTCTCTGAAGCCGGAACCGTCAGGCCGTCCCCATTGACATTGCTGTGAATGCTGTGTCGCCGCTGCATAGTGCGGCCTTGCTTACAGAGCTGCTTGACTGAGAGGACGAGCGTCATTGTGTGCCGAGCAGCTCCTGAGCAGACCCATGCCCATGCGCATCTTTCCGAGGTGTGGCAACATCAGCCCTCGCAGCAAGGACACTTCCCAGAATGTGCTCGTACACACAGAGGGCATTGTGCAATTGCTACTTTTATTTACTAATATGCAGAGGGCAGGCTTCTCGTTCTCAGGAGCTGATTCTGCTGATCCGCCGTTGGGCCAAAGACAGGGGTGTGTGCCATGCCCCTAAGGCCCGCTGTCAGGGTATCTCTGGTTTCTACACTGAAAGGCAACTGTCAAGAAAGAAGCAACAGGTTTCAAACGTGTCGCGAGGTTTGTACATCATGTATTGCAATGGTGCCAAACAGCAGTCGAATGGCATTTTTTGGTGAAGCCAGACATGGTGCCTGGTTCCAAACTGCTTGCTGCCAGGGCCACCTGTCGCCTTACGTGTGGAGCCTGTGCCTTCCCGATTTTTTGAAAACGTTTGACAGTCCTGAATCATCAGTTCAGGCAGCGTGGCCGTTGAGTAGCCTAGCATGGAACCCGGCTGAGGTTGGCGGTGTATTACCTTCAGGTGGCGGAACGGTCTGAAGGGGCCCTTCTGCCACCCGTGGAGGAGTTTGAGGCGAGGCTCTTCAATCCACCTTTTATGGCTGAAGGCTGAAGCATTTGTTTTTCTGGCACAAGGCCATTGCACATCTCCTCCCTGACCGCGGTGCCAAGAAGACCTGGCAAGCCAAGGCAGGGTTTCTCCTTGCATCTGAAACTGTCAGGGCTTGCCCGAAGCAGCGACAGAGCTCAAGGGGAAGGGTCAGCTGCTCCGACTAAGCAGTTGGCTCCTCGATGTATCTATCACGATCTTTGTTGACTTCTCCACGGGCACATGATCACGAAAGCTTGCGTAGCTTCTTTTGACTTGAGCAGTAGCAGGGGGCAGGCAAGGTCTGGGAACCAGCAAGATTTTGACTCTATACAGATAAGAGGGAAATCCAGATACATCCTTTCCCAGAGATCTGAGTCGCAGGCGTTGAAGAATTAAGACGGCATTGCCGCGTCTGTAGTCCGAAAGGGGACGACGGGTCGAAACTCAGCTTGTCACCGGAAACGCAGCGTTGGGGGAAGCGGGGGGCGATTGGTATATCAATTCACTCATACAGTCGCTCACGGGATGATTGACTTCAATTGTAATGTCATGCTCGGTGGCTGCTTCAAATCGCCCTCTCCTTCTGCAGGTTCAGCAACTTTGCATGGTCACCGTACGAAATTCATCATGCCTGGTTGTTTTATCCAAGCTACCTACTTTCGCCGTAGTGTTCGCTACCCTTGCATGTTTTCGTCAAACCTCCCTTCTCCTCAGGTACTCACTACCCTTGCGATGTCACGGTTCGAGTAACAGCACGCTTGGTGGTTGCATGCAAAGCTGTATGTCACGGTCTTCCACTTGGAAAAGGTCTACTGGCTTATGCCCCTCTAGTACCCATTTGTACCCCACGGCACCCTGCACACTTCAAAGCAACAAAGGCACGCATGGTTCTTGCCCCTTGTTCCACACGAGCCATGGTGTGATGGACTGGATTGGACTCCTCTCAATATTCGTCCCAAGCATTCCTGCCTGAGGCACCAAGCACTGAAACAATGCCGCGGACACAGTCTGCACGTGTCCTGTCAGAAAGTACTTGCAGCAGTTGCATCCGACTCGGAATCATTGGGGGACAATGACTCAAATCTATCGGAAGATCCGGTGTCAGAGCTGATCTTGCCAGCGCGCCATTTCCACAGACTGCCCAGAACTTCGCTGATCGGGCAGGATCTCGGCATCTGCACAATCGTCCTGTACAAAATGCCCAGAATGTGTCTGACTCGGCAGACACAAATTGACTTTGAGGGCCTTGAGAGCTGAAAGTGCAAGCGCAGCCATTGAGTCACGAGTGTAAGTCTCTACCTAGACCGCATGTCACTCAGCAGAGGAAAAACAAAATTTGCCAACCCATGACTTTGAACTGTCCAGAACTGGCCTGGATTGAACAAGTGGGTGGAAATCAGTAAGCAGGCTTAGACAAAAACCTTTTTCCCCCATAGCCCCCCAGTTATCCTCGTTACTCGCTCACTTGTTGATTCAATTTTAGTCCCCATGACCCTCCAAGTTGCACCGTGTGGAGGCATGGATCTTTCCTGGAGTCCCCAGCCCTACATAAGCTGCGGTCTAGGTTTCAGGTATTGGTATTTGGAATTTAAGTGAGGATTTTGGATTGAAGGCTTAGTGCTTGGAATCTAAAATGTGCGAATATTAGTTCAGGCTTTTGAATTCGATTTCGCATTTAGTGTTTAGAATTTGGTTCCCAGGATGTAGGGCTTTGGGCTTAGGATTTTGGATCGAGGATTGAAGTCTTTGGATGTAGCATTTTGGTTATTGTGGTCTAGGATTAAGATTTAAAGGCCTAGGACTTTGGAATAAGGATTTTGGGTCTAAGATACAAAGCTTTGGACGTAGGATTTTGGTTCTAGGATTTCAGGTCTATTTAGGTCTTAGGGTTTTGGATTGAGGGTTTAATTAGACCCTAAACCCAAAACCCTAAGACCTAAATAGACCTGAAATCCTAGAACCAAAACCCTTAAGGATTTAGGATTAAGGTTTAGGAATTGAGGCTGCGGGTTTATCAGGCTTCTGTTCCACCTTATTGACAAAGCGGTGAAGCATGCGCCCGAGGTTGGTAGAACTCGCTGGTACAGTAGATGGCCCACTGCACAGCGCGAACTTGGAAGCTTCAGATGCCCATGAGGCTGCAGGCCAAGGCGAGCACGCGTGGACAGCCAAGCATCTACCTAGTTCGACTCAGACAGGTTGAAGAGGGGTGCGACGACAGGTAGGACACACCGTTTTTGTTTAAGGTGTACGTGGTCTTGCTGCCAATCACTTCAAGCTCCAAGAAACCATTGGATCCACCTCCAAGACTTGGATCCGGAAGGTCAGGCATGCCCTCCAGACATGCTCTCTGGCCATCTGACACCCTGGCACAACCATACAGGCGGACTTTGCACACATCTTGAAAACGAGCTGCAGCAAAAACTGCTCTAAACTAATGACTTGGGCGACGTTCAAAGTTTCAGCCTGGACCATCACGGGGGCACTTGCAGCACATCCGGCACTTCCTTGAGGTCACGTCGACCTGCAGCCCAAGCATAGTCACTGAACAGTTGTCAGCCTCAATGAAGGACTCTCGGGCTGTGGGCGCGCTGCCAATGGCTTGCAGATGTTGCAGGTAACGGTAGGAAAACTTCTCCAGCAGACATCGGCGGCTCCATGGCAGCACGCAGAACAAGAAGATACAACAAAAGTACAGCAAGCGGCCAAGCAAGCAAACAGCTAAGTAGTGCGCACCCACCCACCTCAGCCAACGCTGCCCAAAATGAAGACAAGGGAACGCAGGACGATTGCTTTCACAACCACGCCGCAGCATGGTCACCTTGCGCCACTGACGCCCTTGAGAAGCGGAGCAGGAATAAAGCGCTAGCAACACGTAGACAGCATCTTCCGTCCTGCTTTTGTATGCAAGTTCTGAAGACCTGCCTGATGCTCCAAAGCACGTATGGTCAAGTTGCACACTTAGTGCACTCCAGCCCCGTGCTTCTCCGAAAGCGTTCCAAGAATTAAAAATGATCTCTAAATCTTGCATGCCATGAACCTCGGCCAGTGTGAAGACGTCAAGGTTGCGCTGCATGCAAGTCAGGGTGTCTCAGAGTATACCCACGAATAAACACGGACTAGCTAGTTAAAGCATGTTAAAGCATGGGGGGGGTTGCCTGAGCAACAGACCTTGTCAGCGAGGGCCAATGAGTCAGAGACCCCAATCTGAAACTTGAAATCTCCCGTGGTTCGGAAACTTCGATCCAAGGGCCTGGTCAGAGTTTTACGGGAAGATAATCGTCTAGGAGCGGTATGAAAAATTGCTTAGTATGGACATGCCACACGTTATGGGTTTGTCAGATGCCAGCGTCGATGAATATGGCAAGGGTTAGCTTTTTGACTGCTGAAACCATCATTGTGACGGCTGAGAAAAATCAAGAGCCTTTTTGGCGGTACTCGCTGGGTTCTTGTCGCAAAAACTGGCCCTAGCCCCGAACCCTAAAGCTTAAGCAACCCCCAACCCCAAACCAATCCCATTCAAACTTAAAGCCTGAGCGACGCCCACCCCGAACCGCAAGCACCCTCAAACCCAACAGCCCCAAACACTTAACAACCAACAAACCCAGAAGCAATCCCAAGCCCTAAACCCTCAACCTAAGCAACCCTATTACCACCATAAGCCGTAAACAGCCACGAACCCTCAACCCCAAACAGCCCCAAACCTTCAACAACCAACAATCCCAGACCCCTCCCAACAGCCCCAACAACCTCAGGCCCCAAACCCTCCACAGCCCCAAGACACCTCCAAACTAAACAACCCAGAACCCAACACAAAGCCAAACTTTGAACCTCAAAACAATAGATTGACCCCGAGGCGACGCCCCAAGTGGAGTCAGTACTCCCAGCTGATTGTTGCCACTCGTCCCTGGTGATGTTTTTTTCTCGCCCTCAGCGAGCGCGGTTTGGTTCCTCTGGCAAAACAAAAACACACCACCTGTCGACCAAGACTTGAAGCATCTGGAGAGACGTATTAGAAGCCTGTGTGTAGGACTTGGGATTGAGAAGGCAAAATCTTTGGTCGGAATCCTTGGCTTCAGCACAGCCGACACCTCACCTTATCCTGACTGACTGACTGACTGACTGACTGACTGACTGACTGACTGACAGTGGGAGGCCTGGTAGATGCGATAAGCCATATCAGCCACAATGAAAGCCACCAGCCAAATTTGTATCAACTTTTTCAGCAGACGGGTTTATATGTCTGGAGAGCATACCTGCGATCTGCCAACGCTTGCAAGGCCCAATCCTGAGTTGGTTGGCACGGCAGGCAAAAACTCATGATGCCGGCCTTTTTGTTTTAGAGAATGTCCACAAAAGACAATGGGCTCAGCCCATGCAAGGCATGTTCAGGCGAAGGCTCTGGGGAAAATTGGGAGGTGCATTACAAGATCTGAAAGCTTGCATCTTAGAAGGCTGCATGCGGTGGGCATGCCTCTTCTGGAATACCGGGATACCTCTACTACTTTTTGGCAGACTTTTCTGCTAGGAGGAGGCAATGAACGTCCCAGTGTCGCAGCTGCTTCGTGGCTTCATGCGCACAACCCAGAACATGCTTTGCTTCAGTGTCAGTTTCTTGTGCCGTTGATAAGTGATGCAATCTAGATTCTGCTTGAGCGCCGGTTCCGTCAGGCAGTTCTACAACAATTTCCCATGGAAGCAACAGGTGGCAGCCACTGCCACTGTTCAGTTCCTCTCGCTTGGTTGCGGTTTTCTTGCAGGCCATCTGCGTTCTCAAGGGTGTTGCAGGACCGGCCCCGCTTTCTTTGTGCCGGTCTCACGCACCGTTACTGACTTCTTTTGGGAGCGCCTGCCAAGACGCAGGCATGTCTCATAAGCTGAGGCCGATAAATCTCATTGAGCATGATGACGGCAAAACTGCCACAGCCTCGGGAAACTTACTTGTTGTGATTGGAGAGTAGAGGCGAAGGGACGCTGGCCAGGTGGAGTGCGGGCCCAACATCGAAGATCCTTTTGCGCCGAAGACCAACCTTGGAAGCAGCCGCTTGGATCTGCAGAGCAACTTGTGTCCTGCAGTGTCTGTATCTTGGCGTGAAAGGCATGACCTGGTGGAGCTTTCAGCGATTGCGAGAGGAGCTAGCAAGGTGAGGGAGACGATCTTGTGGTTGCTGATCCAGTTGCTGCATTCCATATTTGCAGCTGAAGAATTTGCTGTGCCAGCATCTGTGGTGGCCCTCAGGGCAACTTCTCTCTTGACCGAGGAGCACGCGCTTGAACCTGAGCTCATTGCATTGGGTTTTGGACTTGAGATTAAACGCTCTCTCTCTTCCAATTAAAGACGGCCGCTGCAGCACTGTTCATCTGACCTCCATTTTAGTTTGTTGCTGGTAGGTGCAAGATCGTTGTAGACATCCTAGACGCTCCACATGCTTCCTTCTGCCCGTACAGGAAAGTGTGTCGAGGAATCCCGAAGCAGTGGAAGTAGGATTAGCAGCAGCAGCAGTGGTGCTAGAAGCCCGTGTGCTAGCACTAGTAGTCGTGTGTTTGTGTTGAGTTTGACAGACATACGTATCATTTATCGTGTGGCAATTTGCCAATTTATCACTGAGAATTCGTGGTTCGTGCCGCCTTTTTGGATCAAGCTTCTTGGCTGTTGATAAACGAGTCCATATCCATTCAAACATGGGTAAACAGGATTTCCCAATTCCAATTTTTTTCTACAAGAAAGTTATTACTTTTGCCACCACCATTGCGACATGTTCAGGAGTGTCCTATTTCCTTCTGCCCGTGGGTATTATTGTTATTATTAATCTTTCCTTTGCGACCGCAGGGGGGGAAATTAACGCGGCCCGTCCCACTCGCCCCACTTGCCCCCACTCGCCCCACTCGCCCCACTCGCCCCACTCGCCCCACTCGCCCTGCAAGTGGGGCAAGTGGGTCAAGTGGGGGCAAGTGGGGCAGACCAATTAATCCCACGCCGACACTCTCAACTTTCATCGGATGCTGTTTCTACGCATGCTTGGTGGTAATTTTTTGTGCGAAATAGACATACGAAATTAACAAGTTCGAATACTAATACGAACACGAATGCCACAACGAAATTGGGCAATGTTTCATCCGCGCATTGCCGTCGTGCGAAGCATCCTCACAGGTTGGCTCCATGGGCTCAGAAATTCGCTTGAAAGCAAGCTCTTGCGTGGAGCTCCTCCACATCCTGGCCAAAACCGTTTTTCCTGCCCGGCATCCTTACATTTTGGTCAAGAGAACCCCTTAGCAAAACACAAAAGAAAAGCCACAACTCCAAAAAACACCTGACTTGTTTTTTCATCTCCACTCCTACTAATACTGGGGGGTGCTTTAGTACCTAATGGGTTAGTTTCGTGCACTTCGCACCAAGTTTACAGTGGTTTTGAACAAACTTTTCTATTTATCAGGGTGTGACCGCCTTGAGGTGGCATCTGGTGGTGATAGCAGTAGGAGTAGGAGTCGGAGGAGGAGTAGTAGTAGTCGTCGTAGTACTGGTAGTAGTAGTAGTAGTAGTTGTTGTTGTTGTTGTTGTAGCAGCAGTAGTACTAGTAGTACGGTAGCTGGAAACACTGTCAGGGACTGTACTTTTGCACTTCCGGACAGGTTCCGGGGACGAATTTCTAAGTTCGTCCCCGGTTTGCGCACCCCTCTAGTACGCGGTGGATTACGATGGCGGGCGCAGTACTCTTGCACTACTCCCCTTTGAAAATACTGGCAGGAACAGTTCTTTTGCACTCCCGGATAGGTCCGATTTTTGAACGATTCCGGGACGAATATTCAAGTCCGTTCAAGCAATGCCCACCCCTCTTGTAAGCTGTGGATTACGTGACAGGCGCAGTACTTTTGGCACTTCCGGACAGGATGGACCCCTCCAGACCGCTTGGATTACGTGGCAGGGACAGTACTTTTTGCAGTTGTGCCTAAACCCTAAACCCTAAAAACCCCAAACCCTAAACCCTAAAAACCCTAAACCCTAAAAACCCAAACCCTAAACCCTAAAAACTCTAAACCCTAAAAACCCCAAACCCTACACCCTAAAAATCCTAAACCCTAAACGCACTAAAAACCCTAAACCCTAACAAAACCCTAAACCCTAAAAGCCCTAAACCCTAAAACCCAGAAACCCTAAAACCCTAAACACACTAAACCCTAACAAAACCCTAAACCCTTAAAACCCCAAACCCTAAACCCTAAAAACCCTAAACCCTAAAAACCCCAAACCCTAAACCCTAAACACATTAAACCCTAACAAAACCCTAAACCCTTAAAACCCCAAACCCTAAAAACCCTAAACCCTAAAAATCCCAAACCCCAAACCCTAAAAACCTGAAACTGGAACAAAACCCTAAACCCTAAAAACCTTAAACCCTAAAGACCCTAAACCCTAACAAAGCCCTAACGCCTAAAAACCCTAAACCCTAAACCCTAAAAAACCCAAACCCTAAACCCTAAGCCGCGGAGAAAAGGTCACATGAAAACAAAAAACTAAAAACCTTAAATCCCTAAACGCTTTAAACCATAACAAAACCCCAAACCCTAAACCCTAACAACCGGAAATCCTAAACCCTAATCCTGAAAGCCTTGAATCCTGGGCGAACCACATGTCTCTGGCGTAGCAGTAGTAATAGTCGTCGTCGTCGTAGCTCGCGCCCCAGATCGAGTCGGGTGAGTCCACAGATGACTTTGGACGCGAGTTGCGCGGCTGGCCCCCTGGCCGTCGCACTTTCCACGGTCCCTGCATACTCCGACTGGCTTCCCGTTGCTAAATTCCCTGGGGCCCGACTCGGCCCGACCGACAGCAAGCTGGAAAATGAGGATGAGCGGATAATATATCTTGCTGCGGGCGTTGCAAATGATGAGCAAGGGGGCCCCCGCTGTTCCTAGAACAAGGGACCGTGCCGACGGGGTTCTGATGCCATGGCCATATAAGAGCCGTTGACTGTGAAACATCATATGCGCAATCTAGGGTCCGCAGTCATTAGCCGGGCGAGGAGGGGAGCAAGCGTCCAGGACCCGAACATGAAGAACGCTTGCTCTTCGTGGTGTTAGGGTTACGGTCCAGTCCGCATGGGCCGGGGGAAGGGGCCTACAAGGTCCGACACTGAAGATTTTGCGGCGTGCAGCGATGTACGTGTAAGGTCCCCATCCAGCTTCTTGTTGGACAATACGCTGAAAGCCGGCCTCTCCGTGTGAGGTTTTGCGGCCACGTGCCTTGTTGACTACTTACCAGTTGGGTTGCCTTTGCAAGCAAGCTGTACCAATTCTCTGAACTTGTATTTGCACTCGAGCTGGTATGAGCTGAGCGAGTGGCCACCGCTGGTTGATTGCCGATGAGTGTTCCAGTTTCGGAAAGTGGTGATTTTGCTGCCGACTCGTTCCTATATTTCCTCTGCCTACAATCCAATGGCGGCACCCTTCAAGCTTAATTTGCTCGGGCCGCAAATGGGACCTGGACCCCCTATCTCGCAGAATGCAAGCCTACAGCGCATCAGGTTGAAGAGACAATTGCGCGATGTGACGCTCAAAGCACTCTTCCATTGGGCTGACCGTTTAGTGAGTGCTTGCTGTGCAGTGGAGTTCGCTACTGGTAGTTTTCTTTGGGTGTTGGCTGGGGCTTTTTCTTGCTGTTCGTAGCGCATCTCCTACGTCTCCACCCCCCCCTGCGCTGCCAACAGCTGTACACAAGCTGATCGACTGGTTGTGATGGAAGGGATAGTAGTAGGTGGTAGTCGTAGTAGTCGTGGTGGTGGTCGTGGCAGCAGTGGTGGTGGCGGTCGCGGCGGCGGTGGTGTTGCAGTGGTAGTCGTAATAATCTAGTATAAATAGTAAGAATAGTAATAGCAGTAAAAAGAGTAATGGTAGTAATAATAGTACAAACAGTACTAATAGTCATGATGGTTACAATACGAATAGTAATGGTGATAGTAGTAGTAATAGTAGGAATAATATTAATAGTAATAATCGTAACAACCGTAATCATCGTACTAATCTCCGGGCCACTGACTGAAGCGCGAGGCGCCCGTGTGCCTTTTTGAGCCCTGATAGCAAGTTGTACCGCGCTTGGTGTGTAGAATGTACACAGTACCACTATACGGCTCGTCCTCTTCTGTCGGATTTTGATCAGTAGTTAGTCGGAGTTAGGCTCAGAGCAGTAGCAGTTCCCGAGTGTGCTGACTTTCGTCATCTTTGCGCTTTCCACAGTCCACCTTCCCAACGGGCTTCCAGTTTTGATCTGTCCACCTTCTCACATTCACATTAGTAAGACTGGCAACACCTCCTGTGCCATGGCAGCAGAATCCAGCGGCGGCACTGCAGCCAATTCCACTGCGCCCACTGCGCCCACTGCGCCCACTGCGCCCACTGCTCCTATATACCTTGGCTCCGGTCGAGGCAGCCCCAGGAACTGACCTCAACAACTTCAAGCTCCAGCCTCCTCTGCGTCTTGGATCCCCTCCATCCCCCTTCCCACAGAGAAACATTTACCCATGGAAACATTTACGTATCTCAGAGACTTGGAATACTCCCAACCATGGAGTACTCCACCTCCCAAGAGGGATGAGAACGATTTACGATGGAAACATTTACGTTATGGTTTCACCAATTTTTGTTTCACTCACACCCTTGTCCTACTCCATGTTGCAGCTTTCTTTGCAATGCACATTTACCAATGGAAGCATCTACGTTACGTAGTGGAAATTTGGATTGAAAACTCTTCCTTTAGTGTTACCCCAGTGGGCATTCATGCCCCATGTACAAAGAGTGTGTACAAACCCGCGCATAGGAGCTTTAGAAGAGTTAGCCAGCTGCCAGTTTCACAGCCACACGTGAGAGCCAATACCGCCAATGGCGTCGCAAACCCCCTGAGGGTAAATGCTTTCTCGATTCTTTCTTCCACTTTTGCGATTTCCTGTCGTGTAGCAGTCCTACGCCCGAACTTCGGCAGCGAATGACCCTAAATGGCTTTTCTAGTAAAAGAGTTTGAACAAACTAGCCCATGCCCTCAATGGAAATTATATCTGTTGGCAAATTCCTACCCCTAAGAGTTGCTCTTCATCATGGAAGTCCTCCTTTTCCTTGCCCAATGGCATGATTGTTATGGCCTTTTCCTTTTATGGAAACAATCAGCTTTGGGTACGTTATTATAGAAGAGGATTGACCTATGAGATGGACACAGACAGACAATCTTCCAGTAGGTTATACGGGTTACTGCTACGGTCGGTCGCTCCTTCGGGGGCGGGCCGGGAAGCCGCTGGACGTACTTCCAAAGCTTTAGTCACAGCTGGAAGTATAAGCCTCAGAGCTCCAATCG